TTCCTGCTTTTTACTGTGTATAGAACTATTGAACACAGTAAAAATGACTTGAATTGTCTAAGGAAGGCTTCTCTTTCAAGTCAGTAAGATGTTATTTTAATTTTTTTATGATAGCTAAAGTTTCAATGCTTGGGCTGACAGTTGCAGTGGTGGACCCTCAAGACCAGCAAGACCTTCTCTGCTGGTGTAAACATGATCAGCTATATAACATTTTTGAGTAAACGTTTTTGACAAACATGTAGTAAATGATTTTCCCATAGCCTATTTCATAGTTTTTCTTTGTTGGTTGTGCAGATTCCAGCCCCAGGTTGACATTTGGAGGCTAGTTAGAGTTATTATCTTTCAGCATCTTGTGTTACCAGTTTCCAAAATCTGCCTCTAGGCCTTCAGAATCTAGTTCTGCCTGCGATAGCTTAAAGTGAATGAAAATTAACATAAACCAATCAGTATCAAGCTTCCTTCCCTCAGGGGCGGCAAGCACCTACAGCATTAGAGCGTGTGGGTCTTTTGATTGGATAAGCGATATAGAGAGACATCAATGCAGCTTATGTGCATATGCAGGCCCACAGCATGATGCTCCCCCCTCCACGTTTGATACTGCGGTTGGTTCTTTGTGGGCCTGCTTTTCACACACACATGCATGCACTCTCTCACACACACACACACACACAATCTCAGTCGGGATTTGCCTAGGTGTCCTATAGATTATCACTGTAGAGCAGACAGAAGCTCTATGTTGTCTTCAACTATGTGCAGAGTCAGCGTGAAGCCGTGGGGGGCAGTGTCTTGGGAGTTAAAGGTTGCTCTCGCGTGTCAAAGGCAACAAGCGCGTGACGCTAAAGAAACTAATCTGCCCTCTCCCCCCTCCTCTCCCTCCATCCCCCACCGCCACAGGTAAAAATAACGTGGCCATAATTAAGGTCACCTCCCCAGTAGAGGGTTAGACACACATGACCGTCGCCTCACAGTGGTCTGTCTACTAAACGGGACGCAGATTAAAGCTGGGGTACCTAACTTTAAAACCATGAAACATAAAATATCTAATCCATCCAACTAGTTCCTCTTTCTTAAAACAGTTTGGTTCGAGGGTATGAATGCACGCAATGTATGTGTGTATTATTTAGTAAACCAGCTTTAGCTGTAAACCAACTTTTGGGTGCACCAGGAGGAAACCTAAAGTCACTTATTCCTTTGCAGACTCCTGTAAATTGTTTCCAAACTTTCCCTGTACAGTATGTTAAGCCTCATCCATCTTCTACTAATTAGCCATGTATGTGTGTGTGTGTGCTTGTGTGTGTATATTTTCAAGAGCACCCGGAGGAAACCTACTGTACATACACAAAAGAAGAACATGCAAACTTCTCACAGAAACAGGTGAAATCCAGCCCAGTTCTCAGAGATAGATGCACAATCAGCTCATAAGAAAACACACTCAGCCTCTACTCAGTATTCTGCAGCCTGAATGAAAGCACTCTCTAACGACTTGGAAGTTTAGCAGGAAGGAGTTTTATTGTGCGGCAGAAACAACATATGCCACACCTCAGCGCGCCGATCCGTGCCATTGACCTCCCTCACAATAGCACATTCAGACGCCAGCTACAGCACAGAAGGACAAAGAGAGGTCCATGCTCGACACATGTGTGCATTAGAACCATCAGCCCCCGGGACAATGGCCGCTCTTATCTCAGAAGTGTAACCAGCCCCAGCAGACAAAGCCTCGCTGTCATTAAACAACATGTCATGTCCAGCTTTACTGCCCTGTGTGGTGGGCCGAGCTGCCAGCTGTGCAGAGGACATGGAAATGTGAGTGATCTGCTGACCACTGTGCTCCGGCCGTGGATGCTCGGCTGAAGGCATACAGTTTAGTTTAAGCTTTGTTTATGTTGTTTAACCTTTATTTAACCAGGAAAATCACATTGAAATGCAAAGATTTCTTCTGCAAGGGTGTCCTGGTGAAGAGGCATTCCCGGCACAAACCTCATAAATAAATAAATAAAACTTTAATACATTCAGTAGTATAAAAATTCATACAAGAATGAAAATGGTTGTGAATAACGAGAGGACAGTGAGTGCATATACTGGTTTTTCAAAACGTACCAAATTATTACTGTCCCTATTGGTAAAAGATGAGGTGACAGTGGCTCAGCTGGATAGGGGAAATTAGTGCATATAGGGACAAGACATTGGAGTTTATTTTATTTAAGATATTTTTTCCAACTCTTATGAGCAGAGGGACTGGCCTCCTGCCGGTGCCCAGAGTAAGCACTAAACATGGGGAGGCAGCGTTAAAAATGTATGCAGCTAAAATCTGACACAGTCTTCCAGAAAATGTGAGACAGGTCACGTTCCTGTCTCTGTATAAGTCCAGGCTATTTGTTTAGCTGCACACTGAAATTTCCCCGCTGTGAGAGGAACAAAGGATCCTAATCTCAATCTTAATTATTAATAATTTATATAAATAATTTATATTTGAAGCATTCATGTTTGTAACTTTTTTACAGAACTTTTTCTATTATAATTTGTTTCATGTGTATTTCCACTGGATGTAAATTTTACTGTTGGTTTTCAATTGACGTTTATTGAGTTAGGCTTTGGGTTAAACCTATATGAATTGTGCTTTATAAATACATTTGATTGTTGATCAAATTACAGGGAATGCACAATAGCATAAAGCCCTCTCACATTCACTGATCCCCCCCCCCCCCCCCCTCCCACACTCACACATACTGCCTCATTTCTCTACATATGAACAACACCTCTCATTCACACCATATGAAATCACAAATTAACATCATATTTGTTAACACTAACTTAAAAAAATATATATATATCTTTATTTAACTAGGAAAGTCCCAGATGAATAACCTCTTTTTCAAGGAATTCCTGGACAAGAGGCAAAACAAGTTATACACAGTTAAATACATTAACAGGATATAAAAACAGTTACACACAATTTAAAAAAATACAGATTATAAAAACAATTACATGTCAATAAGGATGACTCAAGTGCTCTCAATCTTAAAAGCATTCAAAGAAATAAGTGCTTGATTCTCAATTACAGCTTTGTCTTGTGTAACGAACTCTATTTTGGTACCGAGCCTTTTGGTATAAGGCATGATGACAGAGACCAGATTTTGTCCCGTTCTTGGTGTGGGTTCAGAACTGGGAAAGCCATGATGCACCTGGATGACACCGAGTTCATAGACACAGAGAGAACATGCAAACTTCACTCAGAAAGACCCTGTGCCAAACCCAGGAGAGCACCACACCTCCCCGCTCCTAAATGTGACTTGGCGACTTCTGGAACAGTCGGCCACTTCACATAATAATTGCACAATCTCTCGACAATTTAAAAATCCAGTAAATAACCCATTCGTTTGCACAATGAAGTTGTTTTTCTTGTGTTTTATATATATAGTCTAGCATGTCTCTATAGTATGTATGTATCTATGTGTATGTATTCATACTAGACTTTCTCCTGTTTGAATGCACCAAATTGAATGTGTACAAATATGTATCAAGTTGTGCTTTACTTTGTTAGCTTAGCCGTAGCACCAACTCGAAACCACTCCCCCATCCCCTCGCCTCTCCACCAAACCAACCATCCAGCATTTTCTTTTCTTTGCCACAACAGGGAAAGTGGGTGGCAAACCTGAAATTGGCATTTTCAGGTTATAAAATCCGATTACTCACGTGCGCGCACTTGCAAGAAACAGGAAGAGGTTGAAGGGGGTAAACGCATCCCATTGGTTTATTTTCATTGGTCTGCTCCAAAATATTTCTTATTATTATTTGGAGACGATAGGAATCTGGTCAATTTCATTACTATTTGAAAACACATGATAACTTGACTTCAACGTGTCTGGAAAAAATCACTGACTACATCTTTAATATTTACTTTTCTTATTGTGTGTTTGTGTTCTTACTGTTCTGTGACCTGAAATTAATCTTAATCTTGAACTGGACCAAGTCACAACTGCAGAGACACATTCTAAACTATTCCAGGACAAGAACAGGATCAAAGAAAGTCAACATCTGGACTAACGTAGCCTTTAACAGAACCAAATAAAACGCCTAATAAAAAGTCCCTCGGGTCGGCTTTGTTCTGTAGTTTTTGGACACTCGTTCACTCCATCCACAGTGGCGCTAATCTACTACGGTAGCCACATCTGCCCTGGGGCACTCTGACAGAAGCAAGGCAACCATTCACACACTCACACACATCTGATGTGGGTGAAGTGTCTTGCCTAAGGACACAGTGACAGTTTGTCTCATTGTGGCACCTGGTGTTCCCAAAGGTCTCACATCATGGTACTGTAAACGACTTTTTAGTAGTGCGCATGTGTGTTACCTTGTGACCTATTTTTCGCGGGTTTTGGTTCTCTATAAATAAATGGGGACCTCACTATCGGGGAATCTCCAACTACAATTTGCCTCTTTCTGTCTCTGTCATCCCTCTCCATTTTGGTACACTACAGTACTAACCAGATCCTACCCTTCTTAGCTTCAGAGGTCTGTTGGGATGTGGCTCTCGCATGCCATGGCCTGTAATTGAATTTCAATCTTAATGATCGTGTGGCATAGCAAAGGTGATAATCAATATGCCTGGCTCAAAAAAAGAAGATTTATTTTTGAATTAGCGTTGTTTTTGATCATTGCATTTCCTATGATTTGGTTTGATGCTCTGTTTTGGTAAAATTTAACGGTTTTGTAAAATCCTCTGAGAACTAATTTTGGAATTTAGTGCCATACAAGTATACATTGAATTAAATTTGACATAAGCTGTGCATAAGTACCAAAATGTATCCATGAGAAATCTGAGGAAATCTTTTCTATCCGCACCACAGGACATTGTAAAGCCGCACATCCTACAGTACACAAGTTCAACCACACGCAGCAGACCCTCCTCTCACATATTTAGAAAGTGGCCATAAAACACAGACCATATGTCCTGGTATCGTACATGGGACATAGCACACATAGAAGCGCAGTGTCATCTTTCACGGTCCGCTGTCTGCTCCTCCAAAGCCTCGCACCACACAGGGCGGCTCCCCCAGCTGTCCACGGCACTCAGAGCCCAGAGAGGGGCTGCAATCGGGGGTCAAAATCACCTGGTATCCCCATGGTATTCTGACACGTTTAGTACAGTTACATCTCACTCCACACATTTGAGCTTGTGTCGTTGAGCTCCTGGAGTTTGCAAAAATAAAACCACCTGTGTCCAGTGGCACTTTACTTGACTCATATGTGCAATAGTAATTTGAATAATGTCGGAACGTGCAATATCGAACCCACATGTGTCCACTGTCACTTTACAACCAGAAACTGCATGCCAGACCTAGTGTACACATTTTTAGTGGTAGGGGAAACCGGAGCACCCAGAGAAAACCTACACAGACACGGGGAGAACATGCAAACTCCAATCAGAAAGGCCCTGTTCCGACCGGGATTCAAAGCCAGGACCTTCTTTCTGAGATGCGTGATTGCTATACACTCAGCCGCACCGTACCGCCCAACGCTAAAGCTATCATGCTAAAGCTATCAAGCTAAAGTTAGAGACTTACTTCTTAAATATGCTAAAGCTAGAGATTCCTGCCCCGCCCTCATGTGTCTCACCTGTCTCATTAGTCATTAGTGTATCTAAACCATGTGTCGTCCGTCGCTCTTCTGTCATTGTCATTCCATGTCTGTTTTAGATCTTTTCCTCAATCCTTGTTTGGAAACTTTTGTGTTTTCACTGAATTGTTTTACTTTTTATTAAAGCCATTACTTTTGCATTTCTTCATTTGGGGTTCATTTCCTTTTGCCACTGTGACAACATGTTCTTGAATGACTATGATTTCAAGATTTGATTTGATTTTGAGTCACAACATATAGCTGTCATAAGTATAAATATTGATTTATACGGTATTATGGTATAGTTTACACGCCTTCTCCATTCTGTGATTTTTATCATGACAGCAGAAAGGAGTAGCTCTCTACGTCTTTTGATGTAGAGAGCTCGATGGAAAAGGGTTGGAGACCCCAGATGTACAGTATATAATGAGAAAGATTTCTGTGTGGAGTTTGCATGTTCTAGATTTCCTCCGGGTGCTCCGGTTTCCCCTACCACTAAAAAAATGTATAATATAGGTCTGGCATGTGTCTCCTCTATGGCGACCCTGCTCCCATCTCTGTTTGTGGAGTGAGAGTCAATTGTGCAAAAAAAAAAGTGTAAAGTTCTTTTGGACTCTGGTAGGTGAAAGACACTATGAAACAAGGGCGTAGGTTTGCGTGGGGACCATGGGGACATGTCCCCACCAATATTTGGTGAGGATCCGTAATTTCTGTGAAATGTGTGACAGCAGGCACTTGCTGTTATTTGCTCTAAGCACATTCAAGCGATGCACTCGAATGTGCACGTCCTGGTGCAGCTGCTGCCGCTTTGTAATGACAGCCGCGGCGCTCAGTGAAAGCACAGCTCTAACATGGTACCGAGCTCAGACCATATGCAGACAGAACCATGTTGCAAGTGCGGGTCTCCCTCGTATCTCCCCCGTTTCTCCCATTTGTCTCTGACATGTCTCTCCCCTGACTCTTCCCAAAGCGCAACCAGCGCTCCCGAAATTAAAGCTCGGATACCTAAATTTTCCATTGCGTTAACGATGCATGCTGGTTGTGCGCAAAACACACCACAACAGGTCATTTAAGTTTTTATTTTGCATACTTGAGAGCCCTGTGAGTCATTACTTGCCTTTTTGGGTTGAGAGTGGAATAAAAAAAAGAAAATATAGAAAAATCCACACTGTTACTTATTGCCAAACTCTTGTTAACTCATTGTATTGAGAAATACTATGTAACTTTTGACATTGGCCAAGTTATATAAATGATTCTGCAGTTCATGTATATGAATGTCTGTTTTTGATTGTCTATACCTTCTTATATAATTTAGAAAAAAATGCCACCTCCACAAAAAAAGATAAAAGATATCAGGAGCTTTTTTAACAGTTGGAAAGTAAGTAAGAGAAAGCACAAGTAATAGCAAATTATGAATTGTGATGATTAATCTTCTGTTAACATACATAACTGCTTCTCATTCAGTCTACAGCTGAGTTTAGTATAGAAGGCAACACACTATTGCAAATATAGTGTGTGATTACACCACAAATTCTGGGGGAGAAACTCTGGACCCCGTGTCAATGGGTGTAGACTCAGGTCGTAGTGAATGTCCCCACCAAGATTGGAACCAAACCTACACCATTGCTATGAAATACAGATTTACTACATGAGCACATGTTATCGTATTTTGGTATAGAATTGCAAACGTTTTGGCTGTACTAGAGGCAAACAAACTAAGTGTGAGAAGCTATGGACAATTTAAATATATTTTTGAACCCGAAAACACAAATTCCAAATGGAATCATCATTAAAAACCACGTGCTTTGACCGTGACCGCTGTCTTTGTGATCCCCTCTTTCTCAAACCGCTCTTGTGCCAGCGGCTGCATTCTCCCCGTCTTCTCCCTCTCACAAGCGGGCACGCCGTTCATAATTAAAACCCTGTTATAAACTCCAAGGCACATGATGTCTGCAGGGCCCACCCGGGAAGTGAAACCGCCCCCCTCTCCCATTGCCCTCGCTCCGAAATCCCCCTCGCTCCAATGCCATGGGATGCCCCCTAACTCTAACTCTCTACACCCAGCTCAAAAGACCCCATTGTCGGCCTCGGTCTGACCCAGGAGGGGAGTCGCTGCTGGGGCTGTGCCTAAAACCACAGAGCGCAGAGGTGGAGAAGTAGACGTGCACACTGCATCTCTGTCCCAGGCAAAATAACAACCTCAAAAAAAATATATACGACTAACTGTCAAAAGCACCAACGGCCGTAACTGACTTGTCCATATTTGGTGATGTTTGCTTCACTTTCAGTTTTCGGGGGAAAGTTAGTTTTGAATGGGCCAATAAGAGAGAGAATACTAGGCTAGGCTCTTTTGCCTGTTTTGCTAAAGTCAGAGATTTCTAAAGCTTGCGATTTTATACTTGCTTCTTCATTATGCTAAAGTTAGAGATTTTATAGTTGCTTCTTTGTTGTGCTAAAGTTAGAGATTTCGTTAGAGATTGTTTGTAACGTATAAAGTATTTGATATGATGTAAATGATTTATGTACACAGCATTGAGGAAGGTTGTAGCTGAAATGACAGGTTTTTGCAGGAGGAGAGATTGTCTTTAACAATAGGACTCCCACAATTCTGAAAGTACCATTCAAGACATTTAATTTGTTTGAAAAATAAAAGATAATTTCATGAAATTAATTACAAAAATAAACTACATATAGAAACAGAAAAAAGTCTGAAAGTTATGAAATCCAAAAATATGCATATGATTAATTAATAGCCGTCAAATTGACTGTTGGTGCTTCAATTCAATTAATTTTTGTGTTGCCCTAAATCACAACAGTAGTCATAGCAGAGGACTTTACAAAGCCATTGATTGCCAAACACAAATGTAATGATGAAATAAGGGGCAGATGACCATTGCCCATAAATGTTAATACATGTTTTTGAATGTTGTGTGTCTTGGATCATTACCACTGTCCTTAGACCCTCCTGCACCAGCAAGGGAGAACTCTTAAAACCCAGTGACATTTCTCATAATAAAACTTAGTTAACAGCCGTTTTTGACCTATGTGAAGAAGACATCGGGAACTTACTGTATTCTTCTCATTGTCACGCCGTGTCCTTTGGTGTTTTGAATGGCTCCTTTCTTAGCGGTCACACACAACTTTAGCCGGAGGAGTTTTTTAGGCTGCACTTTGCCGTCATGAGAACAGAACTGTCAAGAGAGATAATGGGCCGAACCCGGACACAGTGTCCATGTCCAAAGAGAGAACGTTTGAACAAGCAGTTGGTCTGAGCTTGACAAACCTCACGTGTCTTTAATGACCACAAGCTTGATCACATGCTCAACAACTTACAAAAGAAGAAAATTGCAAATGACCACAAGTACAGTGGTCTCTAGTTTATCGCGGGGTTCCATCCATCAAGCCATTTTCTTCCCCTTTGTCCATTTCTGGGTCAGGGAGGTGACAATCAGCTGCCTCCCAATTCATATTCGCTATAAGAGAAATCTGTGATGTTGTAGATGTCTTTTTTAGGGATGTAGAACCATCACTCCCTTCATACACTTTTCTAACCACCTGAACTCACGACTGCTGAAGAGAGAAAGACCAGAGAGAGACCAGAGAGAGAGACCAGTGAGAGAGACCAGAGAGAGACCAGAAAGACCAAAGACAGAGACCAGAGAGAGCCCAAAGACAGAGAGCCGAGAGGGAGACCAGAAAGAGACCAGCAAGAGAGACTAAGAGAAAAATGACAGTGCCTTGCGAAAGTATTCGGCCCCCTTGCGCTAATACTTTGTAGCGCTACCTTTTGCTGCAATTACAGCTGCAAGTCGCTTGGGGTATGTCTCTATCAGTTTTGCACATCGAGAGACAGGAATTCTTTCCCATTCTTCCTTGAAAAACAGCTCGAGCTCAGTGAGGTTGGATGGAGAGCGTTTGTGAACAGCAGTCTTCAGCTCTTTCCACAGATTCTCGATTGGATTCAGGTCTGGACTCTGACTTGGTCGTTCTAACACCTGGATACGTCTATTTGTGAACCATTCCATTGTAGATTTGGCTTTATGTTTTGGATCATTGTCCTGTTGGAAGATAAATCTCTGTCCCAGTCTCAGGTCTTTTGCAGACTCCAACAGGTTTTCTTCCCGAATGGTCCTGTATTTGGCTCCATCCGTCTTCCCATCAATTTTAGCCATCTTCCCTGTCCCTGCTGAAGAAAAGCAGGCCCAAACCATGATGCTGCCACCACCATGTTTGACAGTGGGGATGGTGTGTTCAGGGTGATGAGCTGTGTTGCTTTTACGCCAAACATATCGTTTTGCATTGTGGCCAAAAAGTTCCATTTTGGTTTCATCTGACCAGAGCACCTTCTTCCACATGTTTGGTGTGTCTCCCAGGTGGCTTGTGGCAAACTTTAAACGAGACTTTTTATGGATATCTTTGAGAAATGGCTTTCTTCTTGCCACTCTTCCATAAAGGCCAGATTTGTGCAGTGCACGACTGATTGTTGTCCTATGGACAGACTCTCCCACCTCAGCTGTAGTTATCTGCAGTTCATCCAGAGTGACCATGGGCCTCTTGTCTGCATCTCTGATCAATCTTCTCCTTGTTTGAGATGAAAGTTTGGAGGGACGCCCGGGTCTTGGTAGATTTGCAGTGGTCTGATACTCCTTCTATTTCAATATAATTGCTTGCACAGTGCTCCTTGAGATGTTTAAAGCTTGGGAAATCTTTTTGTATCCAAATCCGGCTTTAAACTTCTCCACAACAGTATCTCGGACCTGCCTGGTGTGTTCCTTTGTCTTCATGGTTCTCTCTGCGCTTTAAACAGAACCCTGAGACTATCAAAGAGCAGGTGCATTTATACGGAGACTTGATTACACACAGGTGCATTCTATTTATCATCATCAGTCATTTAGGACAACATTGGATCATTCAAAGATCCTCACTGAACTTCTGGAGTGAGTTTGCTGCACTGAAAGTAAAGGAGCCGAATAATATTGCACGCCCCACTTTTCAGTTTTTTATTTGTTAAAAAAGTTTAAAATATCCAATAAATTTTGTTCCACTTCACGATTGTGTCCCACTTGTTGTTGATTCATGACAAAACATTTAAATTTTATATCTTTATGTTTGAAGCCTGAAATGTGGCGAAATGTTGAAAGGTTCAAGGGGGCCGAATACTTTCGCACTGTAGGTCTGAAATATCTATGTTGGGGAGCACAGGGACTGGCCTCATGCTGGTGCCCAAAGTCATGATTAAACATGGGGAGATAGTGTTTCAGATGAATGAAGCTTGAATCTGAAAATCTGAAAATGTGAGACAGGCTTCTTCTCTGACAATGTTCAAATCCAAGTTAAAACAGTTCTGTAGGATTGTATCATCACAATTTTTTTTATGTACAGTGATTATTTAGGATTGTAATGCCGTGTGATCATTTCTATCTTGTTTTGTTAAGCATTTGGAGTTTCCTTGTGTATTGTATGAACCGTGCTATATGAATAAACTTGCCTTGCCTTGTTGCTTTATATTTGACAGAGCTGAAGTTAGCTGAATGACAAATGTTTACTCACCAACTACATTAGTGCCATACAATCAAAAACATGTCAGTACAGTTGAAAATAGTAAACAAGTGGATTCCAGAGATCCTGAGCTTTACAATGGGGTATACGTGTCCATGTTGGCAGAGCTGAAGTTGGCTAGATGACAATGAACTTATGTCTATGGTTTCTATAGCAAGACAGAGGGTCATACACAATTACACAGAAGGCCACAATTGGCTCGTGGACCGTAGTTAGGACCTGCCTTTGGAGAAGGAAAAGAAATACACTCATTGAGGAATGCGTTTTTGAAATACTATTTTTATAAACAAAACACAGGCTGGTGAGGATAGCCTGCCTGTCAAACCTTGTTTGACAGAGACATTATGGATAGCGCAACTAAGAGCAAACTCACTGTTTTGCAACCATAGCCAGCATTTTGTTATATATACACTATACGTTTTCAATAAAAAAAGGAAAAAAACAAACATTTGCACACTAAGCTGATTCACTTTTCCACATTGAGTATTAAAATGATTACTCAAATGTTTGTGACATTCATGGATAAACACCAGGACTCCCAGTTATGAGAACTCCCAAAGCAGTCAATTTGATGGCTTCCTATTTTTTGTGTAGTTTTTTTTTTTTTTATTCAAAGGGTTTTTAAGTAATTCAAAGGGTTTTCTCACTTTTATTTCTTGCCTTTTCTCACTTTTATTACGTCCTAAAACTGGTGAATATAACCAGAGTTACAGATAAGACAGACTGAAAATTTCTAGATTTGAAATGTACATTCAAATAAAAAACTGATAGGGTTTAATTCAATGATAGATTGATCATAGATTACAAGTTCCAAAGTCATGAAGACCAAAAATGAACATGTGCTGCAGAGTTATTACTTTTCCAAAACTTAAAGCTTTCAATTGGACAGCTCAAGTGTTAACAGATAAATGTTGAATTTTTGAACAAGTAACAGACCTTCCCAACAGCCCATGGCCCTCTCTCTGGTCTGAATATAGCCAGGGATAGCCCAAAAAATCCAAAATAATAATAAAAAGCTTTGAGGCCACTGCCCTTGAGTTTCATATGTGCTCTGAGGGCAGCAGAGGGAAGTAGGTGCAGAGGAAAAGTCTGCTATAGGCCATGAATGAATTTGAAATGCATGTGTGTGACGTTGGTGTGAATGTTTATGCAATCTAAAATCAGATTACCTAACTTTATAACCACTTAGAAAGCATTTTTATCTCTCACAACTGTTCATATCATTTGCATGTATTCTTGGCCTCTATCATCTTTAAATGAGATTTTTCAGTGACAAAGAGAACCCTCAATCAGACAATCAGCTCTCTGTATGGAAAAGATAACATATATTTTAATAATAATATTGTGGACTGAATAAAATATCTATCTGCTACGAAAGTATAAACATCTTGAGTAGTCTAAGGGGCATTTTCATTTTTATGTATTGTTGTATGGCCCTTAACCACAACAGTAGTTACAGTATCTCGGAGGAGATACTTTACAAAGCTGTTGATTTGCCAACACAGATCAGAGAATCAAACTGTTAAAAGTCCGGAAATGCAATGAAGAAAACCCATAGAGCCATTGGTCCAGAAGGGGCAGAGCCCAATGTCCATAAATGTTTATAGATGTCCATAAATGTCATTGAATGTTGAGTGTCCTGGATCATCACCACTGTCCTAGACACACTGTTAGGTTAACTTTGAATCAAACTCACAGCAGCCGGAAACGGATAATTTTCTGTATTTTATTGAAACAATATGAACAACAAAAAACACAGCAATTAAATAAAGTTTCCAAACAACTCCCATGGCACAGATTAAAGACATAGAAGTGATAAAACAAAAGCCAAGCAGAGGGGGGGACAGAAAGGACAAGCACACACCATGTCGTTGCAAACAGTTCTTTGCAGTGTCTCAAAAACTACTCTCTCATTCAGTGCACATATTAACAAGTTTTAACAGGTTTTAACAGGCCGCGAGAAGCAAGAAAAGCTGACATTTATTTGTACAACCATTTCCTTCAAAACAACTCATGCTAAACAGAACATTATTGTGCACAAAGCTTGAAATCCTGGGGTCAATTTGACGAAAGGCAGGGCTGCAATATGTGAGACAATGTTCTCTATGTGAGCTGCTAACAAGAAACACATTTATAGACTAGCAAAACAAACAAACAAAAATAATAACAACAAATCCATGTTCTTTTTTTGGAATGGGTTAAACATTACAGTCACTCACATTATTATAACAAACTTCAAAAGTTTAAATCCCCCCTTTCGACAGTGGCACGGACCCCTCTGCTAAATTTCACAGATATGTATTAGCATCTCAGTGTTAGCGTACGCAGAAAGGCTAGGTGCTCCTTCTAAAGTCGCATTTTCTCTTTTTTACGAAGCCGATTTTGGACCACCCTTCATACAGTCAGCTAAAACTTCAGCAGTGTGGGCTTCAGGCGACAGAAACAAACAAAAGAAAAGCAAATGTAAAAATGTGAACGTGTTTTGCGTGCTGTGTTTGCGATAGCGCGGATGCTACATGAGCTAAAGTCATTACTGCGAGCCGCATTGTCTATACATCCTGTGGAATTTGGAACAGACGCTCTTGGCTTCTTCGCACTGCTTTGTTGTGTTTCTAATAGGCATGTTCCAACAGCCCTTCTACAAGTCTTAAAGCAACAATGCGTAACTTTACCTAGCGTTAGCCAAATACCGGAAGCATTAGATTTAATGCATAATTTGGGAAAGGTGTTCATGTCTAAATAGCAAGTATAATGGTTGGTAAATGCTATGAATGTTTTTATCTTTCATATTTTCAATTATTTGTAGATGTATAAAGGCTGTATAAAAGTAACTATATTCAAAGTTCCTGGTGAAATAAGCTTGTGCAGTTTGAGCTATGCAATGTTGCGTTAAAACCGTATCAGAAAAGCCAGCTTGCTTGCTTTAACCTTAATCAACATTCAGTATTTGCTTCCATACAGTGCTCTGGAGAGATAGCCTGGCTAGCCACAGAGTTGAACTGGACCTCCATTGGATTTCTTGCATTGAAACCAAGAAATGCACACATTACCGAGCAGAAAACCAAAACAAAACATTGAAAAAAACATATTGAAATTATTAGAAATTTGGTTATTTGGAACTATCATAAGGCACGTTGAAACTTGATGGAAAAGGCATAGCCAGGCTTAAAGACAGTGAACGTAATTACAAACATGTTGTTTTACAGTATTGAAAAGAAAACATTATACCACATAGTATACACTCTCTGGACACCCCGAATTAGAAATTTCCTGCTGTTTACTGACAATCTAAAATGAACAACTACAAAGAAAAGAAAAAGGATTTGAGTCCTATTCCCTTTTAACACCGTAATGTGAAGTCCAGATATTGGCTGACTTCCTGCCGCCATCTTGGTGTTGTGCAGCGGCAATAGGAAATGGGAAAACATACTAAAGGGAGGATTTGATCTCAATGTTGTCCCTTACAGGCTGTAATACAAGCACAGACACACACACACACACACACACACACACACACACACACACACACACACACACACACACACACACACATATCTCCTCCTCCCTGCATGATAGTAGAGTAGATAGAGTTTGTCCTGAAATCCTCTTGGTTTTGATGCGATGATGTTTTCAGTTCAAGATTAGATTGGTTAAGTCCTGGTTTATTCCTGGTCTAGTCGTCGTTTAGTCTTGCTTTTGTCCAAAAGAAGTCCTGATTTAGTCCCGGTTCTTAGCGATCTTCTTTATCGTCATCACAGTTCAGTAGTTTCAGGCTTTCCAGAACTTGGAGTGCTCGGGCTGCTTGGCTGACTTCTTTTTCAAGGGCTGTGGGAAAGACAGACGTGGTTAGATCATTATTTCATACACACTGGCCAATTACTGGGTTACGAGGGAAAAGAAAATAATGGATTATTTTTGGACGTAGTTCGGGTTTTTTAGTTTGGGGAAAAACCTTCACTCTGAAATAAAAACATTTAGGACCTTGGTTATGTGAGCATATCAAAAGCAAAATTATAAAAGTTAATTTACAACATTTAACACACCACATACTAAATAGGAATTATAGTCCATGCTCCTAATGACACAATTATTTGCTAATGTTTTGATTTTTCATTTGAGTAGAATAACTCGGTAGATTCAAATCAACCCCCCCCCCCCCCCATGTTGATTATACCAGTCTGTGAAAATATTTGAATGGACTGAATGGATTATTTGAATGTATTTTACAGGAAGTGGAGAGTCCATTCAGATCCACTGTAACTAAATTCATGGTAAAAGGAACATGAGAATCTAAATTTTTACAGTTGTTGGCATTTTATTGGACTCTTGACGGCAGCATGCACAATGACACTAGTTAATGATAATAAAGTTAAAGATTCAGTGTCCTCCCGTTGCTTTATACCTGGGTTATAAAAGCCTGCACTGGGGGCCCACTATCACCTATACGCTTCTGAACATGAGAGAATGAGACGTTGAAAGTTTGAAAGATCCCACAAGAGATGAAAGTTACAGCAGGGTACACTCCGGTTATCTACTTGCCAACAAATCAACAAACAAATGTTAAAGATATTTGTGCTATACTAAAAAAGGGGATGTCAGAAACTCTAAATGTATATGATGTTTAAAATAAAGCCTGTTTTGAACTGTCCATGTACCATAATGCAATAAGTTTTTTCAAAACCAAAAATTCTATTTGTTTTTTCTTTTTATACTGTAGGATGGCAGCAGTAAACCAGTTTCTGATTGACTGGTGTCTTGGTTGAAAATTGTTACGGTTCAGGACAGGATGGGGACAGTGACCTGCAATCATGGGGAGCCCGTTAACACTAGATCTCCCAGGGCAGTCAATTTGACGGCTTTTAGTTTCAGAAGTGTAATTTCTGATCATCATAACGAAGTAACGTTGCTCGCCCATCATCTGTTCTTCTTCTGTTAGTATTTAGAGAGACACTTAATTGTTATAGAGTTTGCCTCTACCGTAAGTTCACTGACATTGTAGACCTATGTATGAGTAAAAGTACTTAACATAATGCAATAGTTAGTTCTTTTAAAGAAAGTATATTATAATTATAAATTATGCATTTGACAGTAATTTGTGAATGTTACAATAAAGTTGGCAAATGAGTTTGTTTGCTTGTTTACGTTACCAACATTTCTATATAGACTATTGTAATGTAGGAAAATACAAGTGCTTGTGTTTTTGCAAGAAAGCGCGTAAAACCCAAGAAATTAAACTACAAATATATGAAGACATTGAAAGAGGAGGTGGGAATCAATAAGTGTTCAATTTCATCTCACACTTCTTCAAGTAGCGATGAAGTCTCTTTGTTTTATCACTGTTCTAACAACCACTGATTTTTGCAGTAGTAAATTAAATACACTTTTTAACGCTGTGCTTGAAATAAACTAAATAATGTTTGCTAAAGAGGAATAGTTAAACCAAAGATTTCCACTTATTTCGTCCAATCTAAAGCTGTGGCATTGGCTGGTCCAACTGTACATTTCCATAAGACATTTTTTCCTCTCTCCCTTCACAATTTTACTTTAACATCTAACCATTAACATGAACAGATACAAAAACTACCTGGGATAAAACCATTTAGTTGGACAGTTATTAAAATGAGTGGTGTCTTTAACGTAAGTGCCTAAAGGGGAAATAACACAAGCTACATCGTCAGTCAAAAACAGGACAAGGGACCATTGTAGTTATTACATGTTAAACGTATTAGCTTCAAAAAGAGAACAAAAAGTGACATTTACAGAAACCATCACAGTGTCTTTTTTAGACTTGGTGGGTTTTTTGCCCTTGGGAGACTTCCTGCGACAAAAAACACATGCGAATTAGATCAACAAGCTTCAGGCACTTAAATGCATTTCTCAATTACAGAAAAAACAAGCGATGCCTTGTCCAAGAGACACACAGCAAGCATCATAGGATCAAATGTGTTTTTACATTTAATCTATGGTTAGAGATGGAATTCCCTCTGTCTATAATAATATTCCAGTCAAGTATGTTGTGGATAATTAACACATCGCTGCAATCATTTTAGGTATAAGTGAATAAGATAGGACCAAGACTGACCCGAAATGCATTCACAAGACTCAAGGCATGAAATCACAATACAGAAATCCTCATTGATAAAGTTTTTGGATAAACTTGGGACTTGAGAGCTCCCTTTGGCTTTAACATCAAAGCCAATCATTTCACAATCTTTGTAATTCAAGATAACGGATTTTTGTCATCAAAGAAACCATTGACCAATTAATCAAAGACTGACAGCTCTGTTTACTGGATTAAAACCCAGAACGTCTTAGAGTTCTGACTTCTACTCATGCTTACTTGTTCTGTAATTACAAGTAGGATATATAACTGTTAAATAACTCAATTGGAAAAACTTTGTAATAAATATACACATGGATAGAAAATCCCAGAATTGGCGATGTAAATGTTTTATATCGACCTTTTATGTGTCTGAATTACAGCATATTGATATTAATACAATACTAATACTACAACTACTCTTACTGCTGCTACTGCTACCTCCACCTCTATCTCCAACTACTTGTTTTACTGTTATTGCCACTGCTATACTTACGAGTATTTGCCCATCCTTCGGACCACTGCGATGACCACGGCAATAACGATGACCACAGCAAGCAGCGCGCCAATCACGATGCCGGCCACCTGCCCCGAGCTCAGGCCTTCTGCCACACATGAGGTAGACACATGAGGTTCATCAACAACAAAAGTTTACAGTTTATTAAAAATAATAGGGTAACAGTGGCTCAATCTGTGGAGCATTGGCCTTTGGCTTTAAGTTTAAGTATAACATGCCATAGTATCCCATTACCATCAATGCTGCAAGCTACTGTAATAATGATAAGTGAAAATAATTTCAGGGGCCTCTAAAAATGGTCTCGCGGCCGGATTTGGCCCATAGGCCTGGGTTTCGACATGTCTGTAGGAGAGCTTACCCTCTTCCCCTTCCTCCACCACCACCTCCTCTCTGGTCTCTGGTGCACTCTCGGCTGCTACTGTTGCCTCTGGGACGGCCTCGGGGACCTCCTCAGCCGCCTCCGTGACCACCTCAGTCTCTGGGGCCTCCGTCAGCACCACCTCTGGTGGCTCTACCGCTGGAGCTTCTGGAGTGGCTGGTGCTGGGGCTTCTGTCTCCACCACAGGGGCCTCGGTCTCAGCCTCCGCAGCCTCAGTGGCCACCTCTGGAGCTGCCTCGGTCACAACCACTTGATCCTCAGCGGCCGCGACGGGGGCCTCTGTTGCGGGGGGGTCAGTGACTACAGCAGGATCCTCCTCCACAGCAACGACCGGGGCTTCGGTGGCATTTGGAACAGGCACCTCTACCACCAGCGAGTCCTCCTCTGGGGCAGCCTTGACCAGCTCAGACTCAGTGGCGAGCTCTGCGGGAAGCTCTGTGGGACCTGCAGACGAAACAGAGGATGTTTGGTTACTTCGATTCAGTTTATTTGCCATTTGCAGTAAAACCACATTGGAATAACTGGCCATATGCAAGGCCAGTGCTGTGAAATCCCTTAATGGATCAAGCAATCAAACAAAGTTTATATATGAGAGTGTTTCTAAGCAATATGTCTCAATGTGCTTTACAATTCCACAGGCACTTATCCAATGACCCATCAACCCAACCTTAAAGCTGGAGTACCTAACTTTGAAGATTAAGAGATTCTATATAAGTCCTGTGGGGAAATTTCGGTTTTGTATCCCCAGTTACAGAACAGAAGGAATGAGGTGCACTCAGAGTGATGTGCACTTATCTATAGCACACCTCCATATATTAAAAAATTATACATATAATATTCAATTATTTGATTATATTTAAAATAAAATCTCTATCTTGGGTATACATCTGGAGATACAAATATGTAACTCTAGTGCACAAATATGTATGTAGTAAGTAACTTTGAAACTAGAAAAGAATAACTATGCAATAACATCTGTCATGTATGGAAGCGTGTTAGGTTCACTTGTTGTTAGTGTTGTTGTTTAGTGTCATATTATTTTATGATATTTTCATGTTATTTCAAGATAATTTCCTTTTCGTACAAGATATGGATCATGATATTTCATGATATACAAATATCATGTTTTTTCATTTCACTTCACCGTAGTCATGGCTGGTGGTTTTATCACTAGTTTTCACAAGTATTTCTGGCTTTTACAACAGAATTTAACTCTGTCTGTTCTGACAAAAACAGCTCACCCTCAGCTGACAGAGAACCTACAGCTGCATAAAGGACGGAACCAATGCCCATATAAGCAAATTGGCCTCATCTGTATAAAGGCTAACACTATGGTGATGTCACACTCTGTCATTCCAATCCTGATGTACAGTCTATGGCTTCAAACCAACCACATTCATATTTTGATTACTAAGCTTAGATAACTGTATTAAATTAATGCTTGGTTTTGTTGGGGGGGGGGGGCTATGTAAAATGTAAAAATTCGAAACTAATGAAGATGACACAATAAAGTAATAAAAAATAAATTCATGTATTTGGTTAAACTTTCTTTTCGAGATATGTGGAAAACAGTAACAATACATTGCCATATTTAATCAAGCAAATCTTGCAAAAAAATAAAATGAATAAAATGTTATAGCCTTTTCTAAAAAAAAGAAAAAGAAAAACATATTTTTTTTATTGTAAATAATACATTCACGACTAGAAAAAGGAGTTTCTTATAACTCTATAATTTACAATAAAAGAATCAGAAACTGTCCACAGCCTTTGGTTTGTTTGCTGCTTGTGAGATTGAACACAACGGGGCTGTATTTTTTCAGTTTATAATCACTCATTCATGAAATAGTTTTCCTTGAAGACACAAACCGATAGATGTCTTTTCTGAGAAACATTACGTCAAAGAATGAGTCTGGATTGTGAAGATAAAGCACAGAGTTTCACAGTTTGACTCCTGGGTTTAACTGAGGTAGAGGGTCATCTCTGTCTCTGACCAGAAATACAATAGTTTAAGTCCCAAGTTCCCTCTTCCAAATCAGTATGTTATAAAACTGTGAGGTTTATTTTGGACAATTTGTAACAATGTTGGGGCAACGTTAGGTTCAAGTCCTCGACCTTCTCCACTTGGTCACGACAACAGCTTCGTAAAAGTCCTTGAGAGAACAACTGTTGTGATTTAGGGCTATACAAGTATTTAATTAATTGAATTGACAACACGCCTGCTACGAATGATCTATCTCTCTATGACACTGGTTAATAGTAATATACATTTACATTATATTGCATTTCCCTAAATCGCAACAGCAGTTATCTCGTGAGAATTGGTGTCGATTCGCCAACAACAGATCAGAGAATCAAACAGCTCAAACAAAGGAAATGCAATGATAACAAACACTTAGAAGCCGGATGACCACGTCCAATGATGTTAATACATGTCTAGAAATATATTTATAGATAGACAGACAGATAGATAGATCCTTTATTGATCCCATAGGAGAAATTCAGGTGTCCAGTAGCAGCAAAAATAAAAAAGATAAAAATTGAAGCTAACAATAGTAATAAGCCTCGGGTCACAGCAGCAGAGGTGGAGTAGCCTCTGGGTGGAGCAGGACGGGTCACAGCAGCAGAGATGGAGTAGCCTCTGGGTGGAGCAGGACGGGTCACAGCAGCAGAGGTGTAGTGGCCTCTGGGTGGAGCAGGACAGGTCAAAAGGTGGAGTAGCCGCGTGGTTCGGACCATTTTCTCTGCTCTAGTTCAAAGTAAAATGCTAAATGCTTCATTAGCATTTGTCAAAAAGTTAGCATTCCTCCAGTGGATTTTCAACTGATCCACTTGCTTCGGACCATGAATCCTCTCTGCTCTGGTCTGGACCAGTGCAAAACCATGAACACTGTACTGCAGCAACGTCCCAGGCAGAATAAATAAAATTCTAAAGCACAAAATAATTACTGTTTCAGAGCTACTTGGGACTTGCAGCGCATTCAAAAGGGTTATGGATTATTTATGAATTTAGAATGCATGGAAATGTATAGAATTTAAATATGTACACTACAAATATTAATACTACTACTTTAAATAATAATAAAGAAGCAAATCTGTAACGGTAGCCTAATAAAGAAGCCAGTAAAAATCTCTAACTGTAGAATGATAAAGAAGCAAATTCTTTTAAATTATAAATGAATCAAACTGCTTCTCAAAATCAAGATAAATCCAAGTCAGATTTTGACCTAAGACGTCTGGTATGCCACATCCTCTGCCTCACTTCCTCTGTCCGCAGTTGTAAAGGGAGCTCCCTATCGTCACGTATACTTCTGTGTACTTCAATGGACGTTTTACTGCAGTACTTTGGTTGGGTGGGGTCCCCATGACGTCAGTGAGAAATACCAAAAACGCCTGAGCTGCTGTTGATCTTGTAATAATATCCCAGGAAGAGGATGTCTGCTACCGGACAGTTAAGAGAAGTAGAAAAAAAAACTGGGGAAAAAAACTGGATGCCTTTCTTGAGGACTGTTACGTGCATTATGTGAACATATGTCGGTGAAATGGGATCTAAATATTTGGACAGCGATGATGGGAATGGTTTCTCTATATGGACTTTTATAGCAAACCTGAAATATAGCCACAGTACAGACAGACAGACAGACCCATTTACTTCCACAGTCTGGAATCTCAACAAAAATAGATAAAAATCCAGTCATGAATTGATAAGGAGTGGTTTCATTCATGACAATTCGACATTCGACAACACTTACGGACATCTACGCTGATCTAAAGAGGCCACAGATGTCAAACATACGTGCATGTGTCAGGACCAACTGTTGCGAGAGAGAGGGACTACTGTAACTGGAGAATATACAGTAGTTACATTTTGACGTGGCTTGAAACTTAGATACCACAGCTTTAACAAAGATTGTAACCTCTGCCTGTTGAATTTTAAAATCGATTGTTTCAACTCTTTTAATCTGTATAAGGGTCTAAGGACAGTGATAATCCAGGTCATTTATGATCATCTATGAACGTGTATAGACGTTGGTCATCTGCCGCTTATAGACCAATGGCTCTGTGTGTTTTTTTTTTATCATTTCAGTTTCCAGTGATTGAACTGGATTCTCTGATCTATGTTGGCGAATTGACAGAATCGTAAACTCCTCCGAGAGACACTGCTGTGAATAAATTAAATTGAATTGATGTAATATATATAGTATTGCAGTGGCTGTATCAGTGGGAAAAACTCTCCCTGTAGTATATTGTTCTCATTATGTGTAATTGTAGTATTAGTATTCATCTGATGACCACTATTATGAAAAAATAACTGAATATGGGTTAGTTTAGCCCATATTTGAGCCCTGAATCACATAAGGCTCAGTAGTGATTGGTGGATTTATGTCCCGCTTCCCACACATTGTGCCCACTAATATCAGGGAGCACCAAGTAACACATGCACTTTAGAAAGAAATAGAAAGAGAGATCGTTTAATTGTCCCACAGTAGGGAAACGTCAGTGTTGCGTCACTCTTGCCATTTAATTGACCATTTTCTTCCTGGACGCTTAAAATTAGTTGCTCTTTGCGATTTTTCTCGGACACAGTTTAGAGACCCCTGCCTTAATCACTCAATTCAAATCAATTTTATTGTGTAGAGCAATAAATCACAACAGTAGTTATCTCGGAGGACTTTACAAAACCGCAGAATTCGCCAACACAAATCAGAGAATCAAACGATACAAAGGAAATGCAAAGATCAAAAACACGCAGAGCTATTGGTCCTAGGACAGAAGACCATTATGCATAAATATTAACAGATGCTGGTGTCACTATTAAAACAACTTTGAGTGTGCAAACAACTAATGAAAAAGCTGTGAAAAGTCTATTTTACAGCTTTAAACTAGCCCATGATTGAAGGCTGAATGTAATAACCACTGGTCTGTTTTAGGATCCAGTTCAGTCTGTCATCAGCCCAGAGACTGAGTTTGAAACTTGTCATTTTACCTCATTAATTCCTCCGGACTCCATCCAATATCCTGCTAACCACGAAAACTGGAAACCACCCTTACACCAAATTTCCTCTTTTCTCTCTTTGTGTCTCTCCGTCTCTCTCACTCTCTCTGTCTCTGTCTCTCTCTGTCTTCTGTCTCTCTCTTTGTCTCTCTCTCTGTCTTCTGTCTCTCTCTTAGTATCTCTCTCTCTCTCTCTCTCTCTCTCTCTCTCTCTCTCTCTATCTGAATATGAATGAGGAGATGACATCATGCTTCCATGTGTATTGTTCAGACGGTCATAATGCTGAGATAAAGAAAGTTTTGATGGACACACTATTGTCTTTGAGTCTCATGAGCAGAGAGCAGGTCACAAGACACAGATGTTAGACTGGGATGTCACTGGTAATTTATTAAACAACTGTATGTGTATGTCAGACAGCAGATGGGATGTAAACATCTGCTTCTGATGAAAC